TAAATACAACCTTCAGACCTGTGCCCAGGAAAAGAAATAGCCCCATTTACTGCTTTCTGCAAAGACTTAAACTTGAGGCACCAGGTCATGCATTGCCTTTCATAGCAGGACACGTTTGCACAAGACTTTTGAGCCATTGTGATGCAAAAAGCTTCTAAGGAGAAGTCAGAAATGTTATTTCAACATTTGTTTCTCATTTTCTGCTGTGCCAGCCTCCCCCGCCCTGCCTTCTTTGCTTTCAGCTTCTGTGTGTGGTTGTGTCTCTCTGCTCCCCGCCCCCGCCCCCCAAGAGGTTTACTTAAGCATATTCCCACCTCACCAGCAGATATGGCCCCGTGGAGAAATCTCGTTTATAACTAAGGTCCCACGGGCAGCCCTCTGTGAACCAGCCCAGCTGCTGCTCAGGAACGGGAGCGACCCTCCAAAACCCAGGCGTCTGAAGGGGCGCAGGCAGCCTTGGAACCCGCCCCCTTTGTGGGGCAGGCTCGAGCCAGAGTGCGGAAGAGTGAAACCTCGCAAGATGCCAGAGAAGCCTGGAAGGGCCTAATTCCTGGTAACGTGTTCGCGAGGTGTGCTGTCCCTTCCCTCGGGAGAGGCCTTTCAGGCTGTTTTCTCCTTTGCAAACCAAAGTAGTAGTTAATTTTAGAACCTGCTTCTAAAAGCAGTATCTCTCTCCACTCTGGTTTTTGTGTTTGTTGGGTTGGGTGCTGAGGAATCAAGGCAAATGTAAATTAGTTTCTTTTTCTCAAAATATTCTTTGTTTGACTCCTACGCTGTGCTGGGCAGTGACAGAGAACCTGCTCCCGTGTGGCCATGAATGACCATGGAGCCTTGATGAGTCAGTCTGTAACGCAGGTGGAACCAGCTCGGCTCCCTGGCCTTCCTCCACGCTTTGCAAACAATCGAGACCTACTTATGTATGGGGCTGGCGTCCCTGAGCTTTCCTGGGTGGTGCCTGTGGGGTGGAGCAGTGACCAGCCTGGCCTGCCTACCCATATGGGCCTCTCCTCACAGCTGTGATTGTGGCTGCCCAGCCAGGTTTTGTCATTCATTGAAATTAGCACCTCTCAGCCAGGACGATTTTGCCCCCAGGAGACATTTGGCCATGGCTGGTGACATTTCTGGTTGTCATAATCCATGGGGGGTGGGGGTCAGTTGCTACTGGATTCTAGTGTGCAGAGGCCAGGGATGCTGCTGAACATCCCACAGTGCACAGAACGGCCCCATCACAGAATTACCAGTCTAAAATGTCACTAGTGCCACCGTAGGAAACCCTGAGAATAAACTTAGTAAAGTCCCTGCCTTGTCATAGGTTTTATCCCCACTGTTTGCTCTTCTCATGCTGTGCTGGAACCAAATGGAACTACTCCATCCACAGTCCCGTTGTCTACAGTGACGCTCCCCTTACCCCTCCTCGCCCGTCCCCGCCCTTCCTCCGCACCTCTGTCTGTATTTCTGCAGTATTTAAGCTGTCTATTGTTGCAGGGGGTGGCTCTCCACAGGAAACATTTCCTGTGCTCTGGGATAGAGGCGCACAGCCTTTCCAACCCTTGGAGCTTGTTAGGAAAACACAGCTCAGGGGCCAGTGTAATTTGGGTTTGCTGCTCAGAGGCACCCAGACAGTTTTCCATAGTCTCCGGGAATTCACAGCCCCTCCCTCTGATCCCTGTATGCCAGCCCCCAGGGCAGGTAACAAGGACACCATAGTGTTTCCCAGAACAATGCCGAGGCTGTTGCTAGCATGAAGTGTGACAGTGGAGTGTGTGTGAGTGCGCACATGTTTAAAGTATTTCTTATTTTTTTATTTATTGATTTTAGAGAGAGATGAAAAGGGAGGGGGAGAGAGAGACATCAATTTTTGTTCCACTTATTTTTTCATTCATTGGTTGGTTGACTCTTGTATGTGCCCTGACTGGGCATCGAACCCAAAACCTTGGTGTATAGAGGCGACGCTGTAACCAACTGAGCTACCCGGCCAGGGCTAAAGTTTAGATCTTTTCTCTTTAGAATCACCTCTATTCCAGTCGTCATGAAAGTAGCATTGTGGTCATGAAAGCCATGCCCTCACTCATGATGGAAAAGAGAAGGAATAGTTTGGCATTAAAGTTCAGCTTGTTTAGAAAAGGGGTGGAGTAAGCACCTAACACTTTTAAAGTGCTTATCTAAGTTAATGGAAGTTGTAGCAAGACCTTTATTCATAAGGTCATTGTCCACACAAATGCTAAGTAATGCCTTTTCTGTTTGCATAATTTGGGGAGGTTCCCTGTCCTCTATATTTGGGTTGAAGGAAGAGTGTGTGACTTGTAAGGCAAACCAAATAATTCAGAATATAAATATTCCTACTTGAGCTACACAAGGGAAAGTTCTAAAATGATTGCTAGGTGATAAATATTTGCTGTGCACTGAGTTGGTGAACGTGGGGTGGTTTGGAGCTTTGAGTTTAGGAACACAGGCAGGCGGTACTTTTCTGTACACTCTTTGCCAAAGTTCTTCCTGTTCCTGGAATTATTTCTGGGCAGCTGTGGTAAACAGCCTATTCTGAAATGCCTTCAGATCCAAATATTTCTTTTATTTTAATTTTTATTTTTTTAAATATATCTTTACTGATTTCAGAGAGAGGAAGGGAGAGGGATAGAGAGAGACAGAAACATCAATGATGAGAGAGTCATTGATCGGCTGCCTCCTGCACGCCCCTGACTGGGGATCGAGCCCGCAACCCGGGCATGTGCCCTGACCGGGAATCGAACTGCGATCTCCTGGATCCTAGGTGGATGCTCAACCCCTGAGCCATGCCCAGCCGGGCTCAGATCCAAATATTGAGGGCTGGTTTCAGCCAGAGAATCTGCCAGGCTCTGGGGTAATTCTTGCTATTTTTATTGTATGTGTGTTACACTGTGGGCAGAAATGCCTCACCCATCACTTAGAGAACATCAGTAGGCTCTCTATTCCTAGCTGCACCCTAGATTTAAAACTCAGTTAATAGGAATTTGTTTATTAGGGCCTTAATACTTGTCAGGAACACAAAATATTGATATTGATATATATGGATAAATAAACTTGTTTCTCCTCTGATTAAGTTTTTTACACCCATGCTTTTAAAATTAGTCCATGGTTAAAAATACAAATAAGGCCCGGCCAGGCGTGGCTCAGCAGTTGAACATCGACCTAGGATCCAGGAGCTCGAGGTTCTATTCCTGGTCAGGTCACATGCTCAGGTTGCGGGCTTGATCCCGTCAGGGGCGTGCAGGAGGCAGCTGATCAATGACTCTCTCATCATTGATGTTTCTATCTCTCTCTCTCCCTCTGCCTTCCTCTCTGAAATCAATAAAGATATATTTTCATATATATATATATATATGAATAAGCAGTTGCTATGGGCAAACAGCAGTGAAATTTCTGCCAGTTTCTCTTGACGATTGTCATGTGCTCTCGGCCTGGGAGGAACGAGCTCCAGTTCTTTCCCCGAGCCGCTCTCTTCTTCCATGTTAGGGGAGTGGAGACGGGCTTCATCGCATCCTCAGTGACCACTGCTTGGGGTCTTGGGTGGAGAAGGTGCCAGTGCCTGCTTGTTGCTAATGATTAATTCAGCTGTAAAAGTTAGAATTTGACATACTTCAAGTTTATAAGGGGTTGATTCCCTAAGGCAGGGTAGGGAGAAGCAAAAGCAGCCATGGGATTTTGTTTTGGTTTTTTTAGCCATTGGGCACAGCATCTTAGAAAAATTGCCTAGCGCTGCCTTCATTGGTGACGTCTCAAAAGGGCGCGGGGGGCCCAGTGGGTACGCCAGACAGTTGGCCTGCCTGCTGCTCGGGGGCTGACGCATACTTCTAGCTTCACCCAAAACGGGTGCTCAGGTTTCCTCACCCATTACAAGACACTCACCGTACTCTGGGCAAGTGTCTCCTTGTGGGCTGGCTCCACCTGTTAGCGAGGCAGGAACACTGTCATTTTTGTGAAGGTTGGGAGCGAACACCTCTTTCCTTTCTGTGCGGTCCTTCCCCAGGATGGGTGTGATGTGCGCGTCAGGAATGTCACCCTGAGCGCCAGGGAGGACAAGGCTTTGTTCGTACCCTGTTAAGGCAGGAGCTTAAGGGTGGACTGACCTGTCAGGAAACATCTAGGACAGTACCCGCTGCAGGGCCCACATTAGTTCCCCTTCCTCCTGGGCCTGTTGAGGACCTACATACGTACCTGACAGTGGCATCAGGAGACGTGCACTTGGACTTGAGGAAGTGGTCTGGGGAAAGCTCGGAGGCCTTTGAGAGGGGTGCGAGGCCTTTTAAGCTCCACTGGCTGCGACCAGGCCGACCAGCAGCCTCCCAAGTCAGTTAAGCAGCTCGAGGATGTGAGTTCCTCTCAGGCAAGAGGTATGGTCAGAGGCCCCCAGGGGAAGATTTAAAAGGTGAAGGTGAGGTGATAGTTCTGTCACGTGCCTGGTGTCCAGCCTTCTGCCCCGGGCTGGTCACCGCAGCTGGCAAGGGCATGGAGCCCAGGGCAGCCTTCCCACAACCTGCCTGCCAGTCCAGTGAGCCAGGAAGAAGTGGAGACAAAGGGAGGAGGGGAATGATACTTTCAAAATTGTCTTTAGGTGAAAACTAGTATGAAGATAACATATTCCCGGTCCAACCCTACCCCTGTGCAGCTTTAAATTCTTTAAAAATTTCTTTAAATTCACAGAAAATAAGGGGGAAGGCCAGGTTCCCTAGGACTGGCTCAGCAGTTTTGTTGGAGGTGTTTGTACTAAGAGCACCTGAGCCCTCAAGGTTTCGGCGTCGGAGGGGGGATACGCAGTGCAGCTCGTCCCTGCCGCAGGGTCGGCCCTGGCCTGGCCCGGGCAGTACTGACAGTCAGTGGGAACTGAGACTTTTACTCAGGTATTCGACTCATCTCGAGCAGAAATAGTTGAAATAAGGCTACAGTGTACGCCGGGAAACCTGAGTGGGTGGGCGGGGGCCCTGCGAAGGCCAGATGGCTCAACGTGTCCCTTTCCGTCCCCGCAGTACGCCACCACGGGCTGCTCGCTGACCCTGCACCACACGGAGAAGCCAGAGCACGAAGACATCTGCGAATACCGTCCCTACTCCTGCCCCTGCCCCGGCGCCTCCTGCAAGTGGCAGGGATCCCTGGAAGCCGTGATGTCCCATCTCATGCACGCCCACAAGAGCATCACCACCCTTCAGGGAGAAGACATCGTCTTCCTGGCGACGGACATCAACCTGCCGGGCGCCGTGGACTGGGTGATGATGCAGTCCTGCTTCGGCCACCACTTCATGCTGGTGCTGGAGAAGCAGGAGAAGTACGAGGGCCACCAGCAGTTCTTCGCCATCGTGCTGCTCATCGGCACCCGCAAGCAGGCCGAGAGCTTCGCCTACAGGCTGGAGCTGAACGGGAACCGGCGGCGGCTGACCTGGGAGGCCACGCCGCGCTCCATCCACGACGGCGTGGCCACGGCCATCATGAACAGCGACTGCCTGGTGTTCGACACGGCCATCGCCCACCTTTTCGCGGACAACGGGAACCTTGGAATCAACGTGACTATTTCAACGTGTTGTCCGTGATGCACCGAAATTATTTGGGCACAGTGCTCTGTGGTTAATAAAGGATTTTATGGATGTTTTATTCACGATGTCTTCACAAGTCAAGGTCCCCAGTTACCCCGTGTGTTCTGTCTGAGCAGCAGCTTCCCATCTGGCACTGGCCCAGCAGAGTTCACTAAACTGGGATGAATGCCGTTGGCCTGTGGGTCATTTGGAGGCTGTTCTGTAACCTGATTATTAAATGTTGCTTCCCGAACAGCCCTTGACCGGTTGCACAGGGCTCCTGTAGACCAGTACGTTAGGAATGGGACGCTTCTTCCTAACCCCCTTCCTATATTGGTCCCTCCAAATTGACAAAGCACAGTGACTGTCAGAAGATTACTTTTATCTTGTGTTTAGGGGGTAGGAATTGTTTTAATGCATTTTAAACAGTGTTTCTCAAACTGGAAAGCTAATCAGTACGCACAGAGTCACCTGGAATACTCCTCTTGGACGTGCAGATTTGGGGAGCCTGTGAATTTAACAGGCTCTTTTCAACAGTCAAGTTTGAGAATTACTGGGTTAAATTGTGGGAAAGGGTCCAGATTTTAAAGGTGCTTAAAGATTGCCCTCTACTGATACTGTTTTTCTACAATTTCATCCCCCAACAGCCTCCCACACCCAAATTAAAACTAGAACTACAGGTCCCCAAGAACACACTCTTAAGAGTTGATCTGTCTTGTGTCTGGGGTAGATTACCTAGGAAAGCGAGTCGTTTGGCCATTGAGAGTCCTCACGTAATTAGTTTTGGCTCATCACTAGTACCGGGGACCTGTTTACATGAGGCTTCCCTCAGAGGCCCTCCTTGACCATAGATGGTGGGAAAGACTAGGTCGGTAGAGTGGGAAAAGCTTTATAACCAGTGTCATATGCTTGCTATTTAAAGGTATGTCTTGGGGTTTTTTTGTTTTTTTGCCACATTCACTTTAGTTTTTTAATAAATATTTTCCAAAACTGAATGTCGTAGTTCATTTTCCAAGTTGAATAACAGGTATTTATTGTGTGCCTACTGTGTGCAGGTGCAGCAAGGCCCCACCACCACCCTCTACCACCACTGGGAGCCTGGAGCTCTCGCCACTTCCACAGGAGGAAACAGCCACTTGCCCAGGGTCATAGCCCGGGTCATTGGCTGCATTAGGGTCCAAACTCACATCTCTGAAAATGGACTGTCATTGGTGTTAGAGGACTTGGAGCTGTTATTTGTCTGACAGTGCCAGAAAAAAGATATTTCTCATGTTTTACACAATCAGAAGGAGGAGGGATGGCTAGAGGTGACCTATTGGGCTGGGTTTGAGCCAGAGTGACCCACTCCCTCAGTCCCAACCCTAAACTCTCAAAAGAATTCAGAATATTAGCCCTGAATGCTCCGTGAGGGTTGAAGACTGTTCTCCTTAGCGGCCTAATGGCATTAGCGCAGCACCGGGTGGGAGTGGTGGCTTTAGAGTTGTTTTGTTTTTTAGGTGAGATGCAGGGTTGAGTTTTCAGCCAGGACAGAGTTCTGGCAGTTAGGGGACTGCTAAACTAACTTATCTTCCAGTGTAGTCTTCAAATAAAAGTGAAAAGCAGTGCCCTGAACAAAAGAAGGTGCACAGAACATCTTTGGGAAATGAAAGGAAATGACAGCTCTTGTCACCAAGTCAGTCACATTTCAAGCCACTATCTAGAAGGATCCGTGGAGGTGAAACTAGGATCCAGAAGCAGGTGGATTTTGCCCCTCAGGGGCAGAGCTGGTCCAGGTGTGGCTGTCCAGTGCAGCCATGGCACCAGGCAATGTGTTTGGGACGTAAACTAGCCAAGTTTGTCATCGTCACTTCATGTTCGTATCTAACCATTCTTGTTACATGTGATGGAGGAAGTCAGGGCCCGATTGGTCAACAAGGTACCAAAGGGTAAAGCTATAATCAGAAACTATAATCAAGTTATTCCAAAGCATAAAGGTTAGATCTGAGCCCCAAGAAGTAAAGTCTTGGGCCAGCAGCCATATAGTATACTGGTGGAAGCACTGAGTCTAGAATTCAGACTTCCTGACTCCAAATTCAAATGTGGTTCTAATGTAACAAACAAAAATAAAGTTTTAGGCCAAAAAAACTCTGAACTTTTACTTCCCAGAGTTATTTAGCCCCCCTAAGTCTCTGTCACTGGCAATCTGTAAACTGAACTTTTACTCGGACTTTTTTTGAAATGAAGCATTTTCTGCCAGAAAACAAACAAAAAACCTATTTTAGGAGGAAGCGAAACAGCAAAAAAGACTATGTAAATTAAGTGTCTCTCTATACTGCTCCAATTTCAAATACAATTTGAAACACAGCAATAGACATTTGTCAAACTCATCACATGGTCCACTTCTGTACATTTTCTAAAAAACAAAGAATTTTTTTCTTCCTACCCTAGTTCTACATTCTAATTTGATAGAAATCTGGCTGATCAAGCAAGATGGTAGATTCAGCCTGTACCTTACAATACCCAAGCCATTCTAAGGAAAAAAAATCTCAAAATACCTTGGAAGAAAGTCATTAATTCTGGGTGACAGGAACCTGGGTGTATGTTATATTAGTATTTGCACTGTTCTATATTTTTAAAGCCTTTTTAAAGCCAACCAACCTTGAGATCAGGGTTCCCAACCATTCTGTAAAAAGGAACTAGCCTTGGTTTCCCTGAATCCTTACAATTTAAGGGAGTAGGCGGTGAAGTCCTCATGGTGAATTGTCCCGTGCAAATTATGGGAAACCAGGGGAGAAGTCACTGAGGCATCACCACCCTGGAACTCTGCCAAGTAGTACCTGGAACGACCAACAATTCAAACCAAAGACTGAGTGTCCCTGTCCCAGCAGCAGTCATGCAGCTTCCTCAATACCACCCCGAGGAAATTGTCCTGTACCTAACTGCAGGTTTTAGGGACTTGCCAAGTAGCCAGCAGTGTGACCTTAGGTTTATCAGCTGACCTCTCTGGTTCCAAGTTTCCTAACCTACAACAGTTGAAGGTTTATTTTCTAAATTGTTTTACTGTAGTACTAACATCTGTAAGACAGTCGGGCTATTTAAAAATTCAGGTATGTAAATCCTTCCTTGCATGAGGTGGTTCTGGGATAATTGTGGCCTAGCGTGTGTCAGCGAGTGTTAGCAGGTGAGTCCAGCTCTCCAGCTGCCTCTGAGATTCCCACGGTTTGGAGCCAGGGATGGTGCCCGGGCATAGAGACCAACTGCTTTGTAGTTCTGGCTTGAGAGGCCTGTGGCCTTGACCCTTCCTCACTCACACCGCCTGTGCTTGAAGTAAGGTTATCATTTCACTGACCTGTGCTGGCCCGGAAGAAACGGATCAGGAGTTCTTAAAAATTAGGAAAGCTAGGCTAGTACGCCAGTCTGTCCACCCGCAGCATGAGTGGCCTGCGTGTCTACAGGAAGGGTCACCGGTCCCGTGGTCAAATCCCTGCAGAACGAGGTGACCCGCATCCTGGATGGGAAGCACATCCTGTACCAAATAGCAGACATCTCCCAGGACAATGCCCTGTGGGATGAGACGTGAGCCTTGGCAGGCAGCCCCAAGGCCACCCCCCCCAGACTGTCAGGGGGTCAGTACTGTGGAGACTGGAACAAAAGAGCCGTAGGAGCTCCTGAAACTGCCCTGAACCAAGCCCGCCTGGCCAGCTGCACTCTGTCACCATGTGCCCCCAGCCCCCAGCCTCGTGGGCCATACTTGTGACCTGCTCCCAGTTATTCCTAACCTTCAGACCTTGGAACCCCGCCCCCAGCCCAAGCCTCTCCCCTCCTCCCTCTAACTGTATCCTCCTCTCCTCATTCAATGGCAACACTCCTTACCCAGGAGTCTCAGAAATTAAGCAACAGCCCAAGTGCTAGCTGTCTCATCCTGGCCCTGGGGCTGCCACTCTCCCTGGCACTGGCCAACGGCACCTTTGTTAGTTCCACTAGCCAGGGCTCTGCCAAAGACCCCCAAATCCCCAACCCAGGAGTACCCTAGAGACAAATGTTCCATTCCATTGGCAAAAAAAAAAAAAATAGAATAGGAAATCTAGTGTTCTCTATTGTTAAACCTTCTGCTTCTGCTACTGATTTGAAGCCTATGAGTTTGTATTTGTGAATACTTTTAATTTGTCTTGGAGTTCCTAAGTGACAGGGCAGGGAAAAATGTTAGACCCTGTTGACACCAACACCTGCTACCATACCACTGTTTTACTGAATGAAGAATGAATGAATGAATGAATGAACGAATGAATGAATGAATGAATGAATTTATGAATTAATAAGACCTACAGAGGGAAAGCCACTGGCCCCAAACCTCACAACTGGTTAGAATTTTTTGTGTGATTTTTATTATAGAAGACATGTCTTCTATAATAAAGGGGGAAAATTGTAAAACTATTGAAACTACATACTGACAGAAATTTGTTCCCAGTCTTGACTCCACCAACTCCCCAGCTCCCCTGCCACCATCAGGGCCTGGGCCACTGGGAGAACTCCCAGTGGTTTGTCTTTCCTCTTGCCCTGCTCCAATCTATTCTACACATGGGCAATCAGAAGGCTCCTTTTAAATGAAAATGTATGGTCCAGAGCTCCTCATAATATTTTCTTCCTTGGTGCCCTGCTCTTTCCCTTCATAGCTCTCTCCACAGTTGCGATTGTGTATTTTATTTGTTCAGTGTCTGCCTCTGCTGGACACACTTCAGGATATGAAGTTTTTGTTTGTTCTTGTATCCCTGGTACCTGAGCACTCAACATATGATTAAATAAATTACTACCATCTGTTAGTCTGATAGCAATGAAGCCAACTTAAAGAGCTAATATTCTCTGTTTTTATACCAAAAATCACTGGAAAATGTGCTGCAGGTAGTCAGGGGACAGACATGGGGAGATAATATAATAATCCAGAGAGGGAGGAAGCAAAGGGTTTCTCTGCCAGGGTCATTCTATAGGCACAGGCAGAAATGCTGGCTTGAATGCTCTGTGCCCTGAAACTTCTTACAGCATAGTGTCACCTGACATGCAGATCAAAGGCAGACTCTGCTCTGTTTGCTGATGCTTGCAGAGGGCACAGGTCAAGGTTCCTTTGAACTGCAGCGAACTGTATTACAAGAGGAGATCAGCTTGCAAAGTTCACCAAGATAACAGCAGGTGCCATTTATTGGGCACCTATTGGTGCAAAGTGCTCTGTCTATATTAACCCATTTAATCTTCCCCATAACCCAATGACATATGGGTTTATTAGCCTCAATTTTGAGTATTGAAAACTAAAGCTCAGAGAGATTAAATAATGTCCTTAAACTCACACAGCTGGTAAGCAACCAAACGGGGATATGAACACATTGCAGAGTGCATGCCCCTTCACCACGTTACATGCTGCTTTATTGGCATTTGGCTTTCACATATTTTGGCCACAGAAATACCGCTTATTTGTAACAAGGGTGAATAGGCTATCGGGATGCAGGATGCTTGGTGGATACAGAACAGAACCCGTCACAGCATGTTAGAAGGGGACAGAAACCTAGAGATCATCCAGACCCCACTACTCACAGTGTGGTCCATGGACTAGCAGCAGCAGCAGCAGCAGCAGCAGGAAGCTTGTTAGAAATCTAGCATCTCAGGCCACACCCCAGACCTACTGACTCAGAATCTGCATTTTAACACAACCCCAGGTGATCTGGGTGCAGAGCAAGTTTGAGAAACCCTGGTTTAGACCAGGAGTTCTCAACCCACTCACCCCCTTAGAAATGCCTGGGGGGTTTTAAAGCTACCAGGACCCGAGTTGTATTGCTGGCAGTGGGGCTGAGCTTGTGTTCTTCCTAAAGCTTCCCAGGAGAGTCCAACATGCAGTTCGAGTTGAGAACCACGATCTAGTCCAACCCCACTGCCTTATTTTTTCTTTTCTTTTTTCCCTTGTTTGATGCCACAGTAAACACAAGTGCAGTGACCTACTAAGTATAGTGAAAGGAGTGTGGCCTTTAGA